AGCCATACATCATAACTCCACACCCCCAACCGCCCTTCAGACACCATAAATCAAGGCTGAGGAAAAAAGGTCAAAAAGAAACTTCCACAACAATAATGAAAACAATTCTTTGTTTTTTGTCTTTAAGGAAGTGGATTTTTTTTGAAAGGAATAAAGATAAAACCGATGAACAAAAAACAAAGAATTTTAATGGTATAATGCCTTAAATGGTCTTTAGAGGAGTAGATGAAGGGAAAGTGAGAACAGAGAGCAGTTTGTCGAAGGAGAACAACTTCTCAGTCATGGGGGCCCTGACCATGGCACCACAAGCCACTAAATCTTTCGTGACTGTTGGCATGACTTTCATGGAAGATCCTCAAACACAGTTAGGAAGCAGGAGTATAACATGGCTGTGTCAGTCGTAATTCAGTCTTATTGCACCAGACTAGAAAGTAGCAAAACTTCCTTTAAAGGCCTATTTTTTATCCTTCATTTTAGCATCTGGGCACACGTCCATGGTAAAAGTCTACCATTTATCAGGCTATCTGAGATTGGGTTGGGTTTCTGCAGAGCTGGGAGCGAAGGGACCACAGTCTTTGAAAGAAGAGCCCCATCTCATGTATACACCTGTCTAGCTAAGACACCCCTTCACTTCAAGCTGTTTCTCTGTCTGCGCTTCTGGAGTCTGGCGTCTAAGAGGAAGTGCATTCCTCTCTCTGGCACTGAATGATCACATACCACTGAATCCAGCAGACTCTATGATCATTCTAAGCCATAGGTGTCCTGGTCCTCGAGGACCACTATCCTGCAAGGTTTAGAGCAGTGGTTCCCAAACTTTTCAGCCTTTGAACCTCAAAATACCAGCAGCAGAGACCTGAGCCCCCAACTGTTGTTGGATCATAAACAATGTTTTCGCGTCAAAAAAAAAAGATCATAGTAACAATATTCATTTAGCTATTTTTGTCCATTTTAAGTATACAATAGCCTTACTCTTTTGTAACAACAAAGGCAAAAAAAAGTTGTTAGTTGTTATTTTCTTATATAATTATTTCAGAAAATCTTTTCAGGACCCCACCTTGATGTTTTGGGACCCCATTGTGGGTCCCAACCCCAACTTTGGAAACCACTGTTTTAGAGGATTCTCTGCCTCAAGCACACCTGATATACAGTACCATACCATACCATACCATACCATACCATACCATACCATACCATACCATACCATACCATACNGTACCATACCATACCATACCATACCATACCATACCATACCATACCATACCATACCATACCATACCATACCATACCATACCATACCATACAGCTTTCATGTTTGATTAGTACAAATAAAAACTGAATCACAATTTAAACTTTTATAATATTGTTAAAAAAGCAAGTCAGTACAGTCTTAATCCTGCAAAAATAAATCAAAGGAACTAAAAACATGTAAAGGGTAAGTTTTCTCTTTTTTTCTTTTTTCCTATTGATCTGCTCAAGTGATGCCTGGGAGGCAGTGATATGTAGTTGTATGGCCATTTGTAAAAAAAAAAAAGGTGTTTATTGATTTAGCATTAGAAATGCTGCCTTCAGAAAATAAACAAAACTCTTTCTTTCATCTGTTTTCTTTGCCCCGCTTCTTTCCAAGTTGCAGGTGAGCTGGTGCTTATCTCTAGCAGTCACAGTGCGAGAGGTGGGGGACACACTGGACAGTTTGCAAGTCCATCACTGGGACACATAGAGACAAATGAGACAAACAACCATTCACACTATTCACTATGTCTCATTATAATAATTAGCGACATCACTACCAAGTGTTGCTCTCTTATACCAAGTACATACTCTTACCCACACCTAGGAACAATTTAGAGTTACCAATTAACCTGTGCATGGTTTTGGTCAGTAGGAGGGAACACGAGTACCCAGAGAAAATATTTGTGTGTACAAGCAGAACATGTGACAGGTGACAGAGCTAATTACTGCTCTACCTTTCTACTACCCCTGTGAGACTCAGTGAAATGCAAATAAATACAAAAATTACCTATATAAAATGATTTAAGCCTATTTTTAAGAAAAACAACATCAAGCTAAAAAGCTGTGAAATTGTATAGTCCTAAAAACATATGCTCACTTTGACCTGAAAAGGTTATGGCAAGTAAGACAGGAAAGGGACACGTACAATAGCAAAACTGCAAAGAATAAGGAAATACAACATCATGATATCTGATGCAAAAATGTTGCTATAAATTTAAGATAATCCCAAAACAATCCAAAATTCCAAAAAACAGGAAAAAAAATTATAGTGGATTAAGAACCTTGTCTCCAGACAAAAGAAAAAGTTTAACATTAGTTTGCAATTTAAACTACTTTTCAGTCCTGAAACACTTAAAAGTTGTTAAAAAAAGAGTTGACACAAGGCAAACATGCCCTTGTCTAGACTAAGAAGGCTGTGAACAAATTTGTATCTAAATCCTTAAATTAGCATTTGAGTAATGTTTACTGTTGACAAAACATAAAGTAACTGTAAATTAAGATGTTTGTAAATATGAGATTCCAACAAAAGCTTAACCAACCTTTTCAGTATGAAACAAGTTTGGATCTTCTGAGTGAGTCCTAATCATCTACGCTCGTCTGCAATGATATGTTGATGGTTTGAACAACATTTCTTAAGCACCTGGTAAAGAACAATTCTCTAAATCGTGTAGAGGCAAGTATATTTTAAAGACCGCTTTTGAAGAGTTCCTTGTTTCACTGCATTTGGGGCCACATTTAAATTTAGTTCACTGTACGGAGTTCACAACAGAGGAAACGTAGGTTTGGAAAATACTGATCAAATTAATAAACGATTAACTTCAAATCAGTGTTAAGGATTGTCTATTTTTAACTATAATTTTTTATTTTAATTTTGTAATTTTTGGTGCACAAATTTTCCAGCATCATCAACGTGCAAAAGAGACACTAGTTAGAAAATTTTCAGAATTTAAGATAATGCTATCAGCATTCTGGTGCTTGAATATGATTTAACTCAGTATTTATTTATTTATTTATTTATTTATTTATTTATTTATTTATTTATTTATTTATTTATTTATTTATCAGTCATTCACAAAAAATAATAAAAAAAGAGCATATCAAGCACTGAATGAAAAGTGCGCAGAAAGAAAAAAAAGAAAAATTTTCTGATCCTTATTGAAAAACATAACCACAAACAACCCAAACAATTGAGCAATAACCAAACAAAGAGATAGCATCCTACATATCCTATCTCTACCGAACATTATATAGCATTACACTTTCTCAATAAATTTAGTGTAACCATCTTAATATGACTTGACTGAATGAATTCTCACTTTCAGATCTTTGAATTAAAAGGTTTGTTACCAAAGGCCAAACTGAGTGGCTTATCTTAGGCTCAAATCTCTACTGACCCCAAGTTATACCCTCACCAACACAAACAGCTCACCTGCTTAGATTTTTGAGCAGATAGCCTGACCATTAGCATGCTCTGCAGCTGCATGTTTCTGCATGTCTGGGCTAAGATCACCACCTCTAAGGGTAACTCTTCAACACTTCACGTAAATGATTTGCCTTTTTTTTTTTTTTACTTTTATGGTCCAGTTATTTCCTGGGTTCATAAATACTGCACATCTATTTGCACATAAATTCCAATTTTTTTATTGTATTTTAAAAGAAGCTAGTTTGATTTGTGCACTTTGTTGTATTACAGTTGTTTGCATAGCTGTTTACCTAAACCACATGATGAGTTGCATGTGTCAGCACGCCTTTTCTTAGCTTATTTGATTCATTTAAAATAACAGCATTCTTTTCTACACTGAGCGTTATATCAACAAAATATACTGAGATTCTGTATGCACAAAATGACTTTTTAAAAAAGGCATCTGTAAATTAAAAAACCTAAAAACCCCAAATACCTAAATAAAATAAATGATTTGATTAATTAATGGTGAAAAGCAGCTGTGAATGTTTGGGGACTGGACATTTGAATGCTGTTATTTGTCCTCAGATTTTAACTGCCTTTCTTCTTTCAAAAACATGGTGCAATTCTTATAAAGGTGTTCTGTGGAAAGATTATGAACAACTTATATTTTACTTGATTTATAACTTTACTGTGATCATGGGATCTGAGAGATCTGCACATAGGGCTGCAGGAGGTCAGACAGGTATGCAGGAGCCAGTCCATTCAGAGCCTTATAGGTCATCAGTAAAAGTATAAAATCAATTCTAAAACACACATGTTTATTTGCAAGCACGCATAGCATCAGCTACTGGAGAAAAAGAACTTCTATTGCAGCCTGAGACCATTCTGATAAGAATATCAAACTTTTATAGACATAACATGTAATAACCATGTAATTTCAAATGCCGATGTCACAAAATAGTATTTATATGAACCAATCTGAAATTTTTGAGATAGATGCTGTTTTAAAATGGCAGTACTACAATTTAGTTTTGACCCTGCACCCATTAAGTCATAAATTTAGTGAGAAAAAAAAAACTATTTTACTGAACTGAGGTCATTTAGAGTTATGTACAACAGGAAGGATGTTGATTGTTTTGTTCATAAATTTTCCCTACAACCATAATTAAGGAATCTAAAGGGTGATCACTTTATTAAATTAATTTTTAACTTTCATATGCTTTCAGAAACATTGAAGTGTAAAACAAATGCAAGGAAACATTTATTTCTGAGATTGATTCCTATAATATATCAAAACCTTGCAACCTAAACGTTCATGTTACATATATAAAGCCATATCAAGCAGATGAGGCAAAGTGACAATTAAAAACACCATAACATTCCCCAAGGGAACAAATAACTTTTCTCTTTTCTCAAGCTAATAGTAGTCTTTCACTTTTATGAACCCACAGTCCATGTGTGCCTCTGATCACCAGCATTTAAACCATCTGCCTTTTAATGTGACTCAAACAGAGACACCTGTCTGTCATGGCCATCTTTTTTTGTTTTCACTGCTCACAGACGTCTTAAAAAACAGGATTCTCACCATTGTCTTCAACTGTGAAATAGAAGATATCACTTGTGGCGTTGCTCCTGTCCAACAGCACATAACAGATCTTCATGTCATTGATCTCAGCTGTTTTTGTACCAAAAGAAAATAAAAAAATACCATTTACTCAAATGGCAACAGTACTATGGCAAAGGTTTTTAATTGTAATTCTTGGGCAATAACAGGAAGTAATAGGAGCCACAGTCTCAGTAAAATCTCAACAGAAATATGATTCTGTTAAGCTGTAGTTTTGTCATTAAACAGTTATTTAATCAATGCTTATGTTAAAATTTCCTTCCTTGAACTTCAAAATACAATGTTTGATTCTGATGTGAAACATCCTTACCTTGCGTGAAGGTCTTTATGCTATCATTGCCCAGTGCAGTGTTGATGATGAAGCCATGCAGGGGTGGTTCAGACACAGTATACTTCAAAACTCTCTGAGGACTGTCTCGGTCCTCTGATCGAAGGACCTTGCTAGTGATAACAAAGCCTAGGTGTCCCGTGTGGAGGACTTTCAGTGAGGCAGCAGCTTTGTTAACCACAATCTGGGGCACACCGTTGTCCACCGTGTTGATGTGAATGGTCATCATTTGAGGTTTACGGGTTTCATACACAGTATCAGGGAAAACATAAAAGTCTGTGTGAGTGCCGTCCGTGACAATAAAAGAGAAACTGTCCTCGTTTGTCTCAGTGCCATCGTGCTTATAGCTGATAAGATTCTCGTTCAGATCCTGCTTGGTAAAGGTCGTAATTGGTTGGGTTTTGTTGAAGAGCAGTTGTCCATGCACGGGCACCTGTGTGACAGTAAAGCGAAGCAGGTTGTCAGGCGTGTCCCGATCCTCAACAGTCAACTCAAATGGGGTAATGAGTTTGGTTTCTCCCTCCTCAACAACCAGCTTCTGTACAGTCAAGACAGGTTTCTTATTGTCAACATCAGTGATGGACACTCTGAAGGTTCGGAAGACTGGATTGTACCCATCAGTCACTTCAAACTCAAAGCTGTCCATTTTCACCTCATCATCAGAGGTGTGGATATAGTATATCTTGTTACCAGCAAGCTGCAGTTGGGTGAAAGTAGAAATAGGAACACCTGGGTGATCAGTGCACTCTAGATGGCCTCTGCTAGGTGCTCTTGTAATGCTAAAGCTGAGATACTCGTCCGGACTGTTGATGTCTGTGGTGCTGAGGAGGTCAGTGGTGAGGGTCACTTTTCCCCCTTCTTTGAGAATCACACCTTTGTTGATAACATCTGGGAATATCATGTCAATGCTTCCGATGCTGATGTAAAAGTAGCGGTCTATAAGTGGATTTATACCATCTGTAACATCAAATTTCAGCAGGTCACGGATTCCCTCTTGACCTGTGTGCACATACTGAATAAGTTGCATGTCGATTTCATCCTGGGTGAAATTCATTCCCAACGTTATATTTCCTAAGACATCACCAAATTTGCTTATGCGCTGAAGGTAACCTTGACCAGGACCATATCGCACAAAGTATGTTAAATCTTTGTCTTCAGAGTCAAGATCTGTTGCTTTTAAAACCTTGTTACTGATCACTTTAGTCTCTCCAATCTCAACATCAAGGCCATCGTTTATAGCCATTCTTGGTGTCTCATCGTCAACGGGAATAACCATAATGTGAACTGTTTTTTCCACTCTGTGTTTACCATCGGAAAGCCTGATCTCAAAGCTGTCATTTTTGGTCTCGGAGTCATCGTGTTCATAAACAATATTGGTTGCCTCTTTGATCTGTTCCAAACTGAACGTCTCCACAGGGATGGTGCCAGAGCTAAGCTGTTGAATTATTGCACCATGCTTAGGATTTTTGATGATCTCAAAGTGCAGTTCATCCCCAGGAATGTCAGCATCAGCTGCGTTTAGAATTGGTGTGTCGATTGCAATATTCATGCCCTCCAATACCACAAACTCACGCACAAAAATTTCTGGCTTCTCGTCATTGGCTGGAATGATGACTATAGGAAGGAAGTGGCGTTCAGAGAAGTTAATACCGTCAGAGCAGCGGAACGTGAACTGATCCTCAACGGGTTCAACTCCTTTATGAATGCTCTGAACATAGTAAACATGACCAACAGCAACATCCTTTATGGTAAAAGCACTGATGGCTGTCCCAGCTCTTGATTTCTCAGAACCTGTGGCTGGGGAAATATTCTCCACATAACCAGATGCTGGTTGTACAATGATTGTGCACAAGATGTCATCATTGTTGGTGTCAATATCCTCAGCTTGAATGTTTTCCAAAGTAATGACATTTTTCTCCCCTTCCACCACAACAAACTGCCCCCCAACCCTGACAACAGGCGGAATGCTGTCAACAGGAAGAATGGTGACGTGAACTGTCACGCCTTGGACTTTGTTGCCACCAACAACCCACTGATCAGACATGTCTGAAAGAGTTAGGTTGAAGGAGTCATGCTTTTTGACAGGACCAATTTCGCCAGACGTGTGAGCATAGACCACCATTCCATTGATGATGTCCTCTTGGGTGAATCTCTCAGCAGGTTCGCCATTAACCAGAATTTCACCCAGTCTGGGGGAGTCCTCAACAATAAAAGTTAACATGAGGTCATCAGTGTCTTTATCTTGACCCTGAATGACATTGGCTGTAATCTCTGTTGCTCCATTTTCAAGCACATCAATGGAGGCTCCAAGCAGACCATCTGGAAGCATGATTTTGGGGGTCTCGTCATCAACTGGCTCAATGGTGATCCTTATTACAATGGGAACTTCATGGAAACCATCACTTACGGAGAGTTTAAAGAGATCATTGAGTGATTCCTCTCCTCCATGGAGGTAAGTTAGGCGACCATTTGCAACATCTTCAAGCACAAATGTTTCACCATTAGACATAAAAACACCTAAATACTGCAGCTCTCCATATCGAGGAATTTGGGTCACAGTGAAGATGATATTTTCATCATCTGTATCAGTGTCAGTGGCATATAACTCCTTATTGGTAATAATATACGTACTTTTTTCTAAAACAGTGAATCCTGTGTTAGTGATGAATGGGGGTTTGTTGTCAACTGGTTGAAGGAAAATTGTGAAAAGTCCATCGGCTGAGTTGCCAGCTGTGTCTTCAACGATAAATGTAAACTGAGCTACTTTTGGAGTGATGCCCAATTCCACATCTGGAGGCTTGTAAGCTACTTTGTGGTGATTTATTTGGGCTTGTGTGAACTCCCTTATAGCAATGTCAGGGCTCTCAGTAAGTACAATTTCCCCTAAAGGTGCTGGATTGTTCTCGTCCGAGTCAGTTGGTGGTTTAGTGATAGTGTATTTCAGGTCTCTGTCATCTGAATCGAGATCAGTAAAACACAGGAATTTCTTCTGAAAAAATGTTAGCTCGTATTCCTTGACTGTCATGTGAAGGGTGGTGCCTTGGAAAAGCACAGGGGGGAGGTCATCGACAGGATGGATTTTAACGATGAAGGTGTGCTCCCCCGATTGATTAGGTGGGTCATTGTCATCCTGGACACGAAACACAAATTGATCCGTTACGGTGGTGGTGCTGTGGGGTCCGATGTGACGATAGAACAACTTTCCATCAAGAATATCCTGCTGAAACCATTCAGTTACCACCTGCTCAAACATCTCATCTGTCCCACTGAACTTCCATTGAGATGGGTCAGTTGGGGGCTCTGTTTGCCTGAGCAGGAGCTCCCCTGTAGAAGAAAATGGTGCTTCCATGATGAACTTAATAGTGGAATCTTCTGAGTCAATATCTGTAGCACTCAGGATGAAGGGAGAGATCTGCATAATTTCATTTTTGAACAGCACCAGGCCAGTGTTTGCATTGATTATAGGGGGTTCATCATCAGTTGGAGCAATAGTAATAGGGAATAAAAATTCTACGTCATTACGTCCATCAGTCATTCTGAAAATAATGTTGTCGCTGTATGTGTCACTGCCATCGTGCTGGTACACGATAATGCCAGCATCCAGATCCGCTGGTGTGAAGAATTTTCTGCGTGCGCCAAGAACAGTCAGGTCTCCGTGTTTTAAACCATCAATGACTGTAATCTTCACATCCTCTAGGTTGTCCTCATCACTTATCTCTAAATTTTGTGCACTGGAGAGAGCTCGAGACTGCCCTTCAAACAACAGCTGTCCTGTGTTTTTGGTTGCAACTGGAGCCAAAGTGTTCATAGGCTTCACTACAATCATAAAAGCAAATGGATCAGACACAGCACCATCAGTATCTATAATTTCAAACTCCAGCTGGAAAATCCGCTCCTGGTCTGAGTCCTCTGAAGGAGGTTTGTAGGCTATTTTCAGATCTTTGACATCCCTCTGATTGAAGGAAGTGATGGGAAGGTTTTGATCATCTGTGCTAATGATATAGCCATCTCTGGGGTTCATTGGTGATGTAATGTTGAAGATCAAATCGTCTGAGTCAGATTCAACGTCTTCAGCGGCCAGCATATCACTTGTAATTGCAGTCATCACAAACTGGTCAACCTCCATCATCATCATAGCTACAAAACTGGGTTTGGGAGCGGTGTTCTCAGCACCTTCTCTGATTCTGACCATGCTTTGGAAATGCTCTTGCATTATTGTGTTGCCATCATTATCCTGCAGCTCCACCATCATTGGAATATAATCTCTGTTTGGTGACTTGGTTTTGGCAGTGTGTTTGTATTGAATGCCCATTTTAACAAACTCATCACAGTCAACCATTTGACCATTAGTGGGACTGTTCAGTAGAGTGCCATACCTGGGAAGACCTCCAGTGCCGACCAGAGTGGCAATTTTACACTGCGTGACACCATCCTCATAGGAGAACTCCAGAGCCTTTTTGTCAATGGGGCTGCTGTCCCCATTGAGTTTCTCAACACTGAGGGGCATATTCCTGAGAAGGATCTCAAGTTGATGGAAAACCACCTCAACTTCCATCATGAAAGGGATGATAACTGTGTCCGTCTGGGAGTCATAGCGTAGCTGCAACTTTATACGATCCCTATTGGGACTCCGAGATCCAAAATGAGTGTACTTCACTTCATTCGCTCCAAATGAACAAGGAAACTTTTGCGGGGATAGCGTCCCAGGTTTTTGGGCCAAAGGGTCATTATCCAGAACCGTTATGTGGCAGCGGTCACCAGGCTGAACCTCGGTTACCAGGTCATTCACTGGGTCCAAAAACACAGACCTCCCAAAAGGTACCCTGATTCCATTGTTGGCAATGAGGATGTTGTCTTCATCAGGTCCAGACCTGTGGTGGTACAGGGGACGAGAACCGAATGACTGTGAAAGTACTGAGCCAACACAGGAGTTGAGATATAAAAACACAAGCAGGCATCTAAAAAAGGCCCACTTTTTACAAAGTTGGGAACCTTGCAGACAATCAGCCATATCCACTGCTAGTTCCCTTGAAATTTAAAATTCAACTGCCGCAGTCAGGTTTCCTCCTTTGAGTGGGACACAAAAGGCACCCCAACACACACACCCACAAAAAAAAAAAAAAAGAAAAGAAATCTCTCCCTGATGGTAAGGGCCTTTAAATCTGTCCTCTGTGTCTCTGTGCTGTAGTGTGGCCGCACAGAGACACAAGTGTGGTGAATGCTGCAGGGCTGTGCAGGTAATAATGAAACAGTAGACAGTGACAGGCACTGGCTCCTCCTTCTGTCATTGCCTCCAGCCCCCACTGCTAATTTAGGAAAAACCATTGGACAAGACTGAGAAAGAGCTGATCCAACTAATACTTAATTCTAATTGCTCTTTTTGACTGAAAAAAAAAAATTAAAAAGGAAAAAATAAACCTACCAACAAACAAACCTGAAAAATTTTAGTAGAATTTGTGTAGTGGAATATCATAAAGTTAATAAAGTTGAAGCAAAAATACAGAAAAAAAACAATTTTCTCTATTATTATTATTTTTGTGCATATAAACATTATTAACTGAACTGGCTAAAAGGTTTATGTTAAGGTTTAATTTAGAACAGTGTAAAGTTTTTCATTTCATTCTTATTTATCTCTGACAAGAATGGTTGTAATGTGAAAGACAGCAGTGCCCTCTAATGGGGTTAAAGCTTTGAAAGTAGTTGGGAAAAAAAAACAAAACAAAGAAAAACTTGGTGACAAAACAAGCGACAAATAATTTACAGATCCTTGTCAAAAACACGTGAATAGTTTCAACTGTGCATTTAAAAAAATTAAAATAAAACGCTTTAATGTAATAATAGTGATATGTAAGATCAAACAATTCCTGAATGAGAGCTGAAACATTTGAGACTAAAGCTTACTCATTTTACAGTAATATTAAATCATTTTACTTTTTTTCCTTCAAATCCAAGTAAACTTGTAAAGAAGTTTGAGCCATAACTCTTTTACAAATATGTTGTATGGTACAGAAATGTCTTGCTCCAAGTTACACTAAGGTCCCTCAGGTGGTCTTAAAACCTGTTAAATTGTATTGAGTTTTACCTGAAAAACTATCACGTCATTTGTTGTGTGACATATTTTTGAAAGAAAAAAATACACACACACACACACACACACACACACACACACACACACACACACACACACACNACACACACACACACACACACACACACACACACACACACACACACACACACACATACACACACACAGTCATTGCAGTGAGAATGTGAGAACTTGTATTCATATCCTGCACAAGATCATGTTAAGATAAAAATACTGAGTAACTTTTTATGGAGTATTCTGATGAGCTCAATACTGGAAGATCTGATTCATGTGCTTTGATCACCTACCTTCAGTTTTCCCTCTCAGTGCCTAATGTCACACACTTTTGTTCAGGACAAATTTTATTTAAAGTTATGCGTAGTTATAAAACTGTAACATTCATGAAACAAAGAAGCTGAAGACAAAAGAGCAGTGCTCACAGACAAATGTTTCTGGTCGGAAAAACGCTGTGTGCACGCCTGATTTATAGACTGAAATGTTTCCAGGACAACTCTCTGAACCACTCAGCAACCTTTCTTCATGTGTGCGAGCCAAATAACTGAGATGCCGTACACATTCAGGCATTCTGTATCACACATTTCATTGCATCCTCTAAATAAATCCTGCCCTCCTCACTTGTCCACCCGAAAATAAATGCAGGACACACATCAAATGGTGTGACTATGGAAACAAACAGATTCAGGTCTTACACTCTCCTGAATTTATCTTACTTGTATCTTCATTGTTAAGAGGAATCAAAAAACAAGACGTATGGACTCAAATGATCACAAACATTAAAAAAAAATGACTTTGGGTTATTGGTATTGATTAACAGAGATCATCTACTTAATGAGTTTGTTGTCAAACTGAAGCACTAACTGACACATTAACATCTCTTTAGTTCTCGATTTGGACATGAAAGAAATTACATGAGCATCCAAGGTAAACAGAGAGAGGAGCTGGTTGGAGGCCAGGCTTTGCAGCCTAGGATCAACTCCTCATCCTCATGATGACAGCTGGCACTAACAACCTCATGATAGATGCAACACAAAGCTCCACGACTGGATCCTGTTCCTTTATCCACCCCACTCTAAACAAACAAACAAACAAATAAATAAATAAATAAAAGTGACTGAAATATTTAAATAAATATTGTGTTTTCTCGTCGCAGTTTTCTGCATCACCTTGAGGGCTGGAGCTAAATGCTAAAATATGGCTTAAAAATGAATGACTACTGAAATTTGCCAAAGTCTCTAAATCTGAGTTGTTAAAGCTAAAAGGCAAGCTAAACAAGCATATCAAAAGCCTAGCTAAAGGCTAAAAAAACCAAAGGCTACAAAGAGCAAACCTTTAGCTAAAAACTCAAAAGTTACAAAATAAGACAAAATACTGGCTAAAAGTTCAAAGTAGCAAAGTGATAGCCAAATGTAATAAACTCCTACATAAAAACCAGTTAAACAAAGGTAGCTAAAATTTAAAAGTAGCTAAAGGCTACAAAGAGCAAACCTTTAGCTCAGAGGTGGGCAATCCTGGTCCTCGAGGGCCACAGCCCTGCATGTTTTACTTTTTTCTCTGCTCAAACACACCTGATTTGAATGAATGGGTGATTATCAGGTTTCTGCAGTACGGAGGACCGAAACTGACACAATTAAAAATAAAAGCAGAAATATATAAATTGACTAATAAATAAATAAATAAGTAAACTTAAACTGCACCAATATAATTC